AGTTACTTCCACTTGAGTCTAAAAATTTTTTAGAGTTCTACTTTTCAGCATTGAAGTTCTTAAATTGAAGTGAGGATTGAGATGTTCGATGTTGGCAGGGAAATGGAGAGATAATTACTAACCTGTTAGGATTTGCTCTTCTGCTTCTCCTTTATATCTTTTTCATTGTTGAAGCTTTTTTTCTTTGGTGGTGTTGGATTGTGGAGTCATGTTGTGGGAGGGTAGAGGCTCAGTTAGTGCCAGCATTCTTCTTGTACATCTGATTGGTTTACTATTTCCACACTGTTGGTTGTAAATTCCTACTGCAGATCCCCATCATGATATTTCATCGACTGTTTCTAACTTTTGATGCTGTTGTAATATTCTACTTAGCACCAAGTTTCTCCTGTGTGCATTTTTCATCCTTAATGTTCTTTTAGTTGTTGTACATCTTTGAGATGGATTGAAGAGAAGATGATTATATAGGGGTGTCAAAATGTGTTGTTCCCTTGTAATGAACTTGCTTAGTTTCTGTTCAACATACTGGCAAGATGCAAAAAGAAGAAATAGGGAACAATCAATGACGAAAATTGAAACTGCGCGAACATTCTAGTTATTTTCGGTAATTGACTACTAAGATAGCATACAAGTTTATCATAGTATACAAATTTCTTGCTTTTTCCCAATACAACGTGCATTCCATGGTTTATAGTAGATTAGATGCCCTTGCATATACAATCAAACTACATAGGGTTCCAAGTATTCTATCATGATTATGCTCTGCTTCCTCGGATGAGACACATATTTGGCATAGACTATTCCGTGATAAGCATTGGGATATCATCCACAGGAGTTGGAAGCTGTAATTTCAAGAAAGTAAACAAGGTGAAGGTGAATAAGTTATCTGAACGATAAAAACTAAATGATTGTTCATGTCATGGTCAATAAATGAATTTATACCACAAATCAACCATTACTAAGTTACAAGAATAAAAACCTTCTTGCTCGAACACTGAAAATCTCTTATCTGCCATAAAATATCAACAAAATTAAAAAATATAACAAGGTTATAAATCTGAAATTTCCTAGTAGCCTTTCTTCACTTTCATCAGCATCTAATTATCCGTAAGCTGACACAACTAAAGAACCTAGGATGTTAACTTCTTGACAAAGTCCTATAACAAAACTCCTCTAATGCATTACCAAAGAGACAACTAACACACCTATTCTATAGTTATAAAATGCACATAACCCTCAAACTTCATCATGAAAATGCATAGAAGAAGAGATGGCAGTTCAAAATTTACTTAAGAAGACTATAAATGTAGCAAACTCAAGAACACGAGGCACAAACGCACTATCATGTTTGTTAGTTATACACGGATGAAATCAACTCGCAAATAAGTTCTCATTTGTTTTGGATAAACAAACTCCCAATTCAAACTTTAGACACAAATCTGCCAACCATAAGACTAGCAACACAATACTTGCTCAATTTCCATATTCCACAAAAGTATACTCATGTTCTTGAACTAAACTCTGACTTGTACACTGACCAAGCCCATCAAATTTATAGCACATAAACACATGGTGCTTCATTAATACTTTTATACACAGTAAGATCAATTAAAAAAATTCTGTAACAACGAAGGAAAATCCCACAATCAGAAATCTGTAGTGGCCACATAGAATAAAATACCATTAGAAGGCAAAGGAAAAGGAAAGAGTAAAGAAACTCTCGTGATTAACTAAGGCCAGACCCCTAATTTTGAACGCGTTCCTCACAGTAATTGAACAACCACTAGTACATCAGATCGCTCATGGCTTGGAAAGAGATCTTATACCGGATAAGAAGAAGACTTCTCACTATAATTAAGATTTAATTTTTCTCAACTACCTTCCCAAAATACTCTGTTTTGGATTAAATCATCACATGAAAACGAGCGAAGCACTCCACGATTCCCTGAATTATATTGATTCAACAAAAGTGATCTCACACTCCTCATATCTCTGTGTGTGTCACGAACTGGCCACTAAAAATCCTTTATATATAGTAAGAGTATTAAGGCGACTTAATTGTCAAGTTGAACAGAGTGATAATCGAACAGAAAATATGGATATTCACACTGTAACCTGAATCATTTAACTTACTCTGTAAATCAGAGCACGAAATTCAATTTCAGATCAAAAAGAATATATCATATGTTTAGATAATAACAAGAAAAGACTAACATTGATAACAAGAAAACGAATTAATCATTAAGAAAGCATAAAGATCAGTCATCTTTCCCAAATCAATTTGATAGTCATCAAGAAAATCCTATTCATATTATTTAATATACCTGAAAAATCTTCTTCAAAGACTGCCGACCACTACCATCAGCGCCGCCGCCGCAAGGCAGAGCAGATAAAGCCTTATCTTTGCAAGAACGAACAGTCAAGAACTGATCCACATCAAGTTCCTTATTAATAATCCCAACAGTGAAGTAAATACTATCAGAAGGCGGCGAGTCAACCTTGATCTTGTCAACATCAAACCATAAGAAGAATCTCTTAACCTGAATGCCCTTCAAATTAGAGATTGACCCTACGCTCAGCTTCCCAGTAATCTTTTTCTCATAATAAACCAAATAATCAAACTGTATGTAGCACGCTTTCTTCAGGTTGACTACAAATTTGCCGTCGTCTGAGAGTGTGTAGGAAGTGACTGAATCTGGCAAGAGCCCGCTTGGGAGGCCGAATTTTTCGAGGATTTCGTATACTGTTGGTGTGGTGTTTGTAGAGAGAAGTTGAGATGAACAAGAGAGAGAGAGGAGAGAGAAGGAGGAGAAGAAGAAGAACAGTTTGAGCTTGGAATTTGACGACATTGCTGCTTTGATTGGTGGTTGGTGTGCATTGTTGATATTTATATAGGAACTGAAATGGGGTAAATTACATCTCAGGTCACTGAAATTCTCATCAATTAAGAATTTAGTTATTAACTTTACTTGTCAAATTTCAATTGATGAAAATTTCTCGATTAACCGTCACGCCGCTTTACCACTACACCACCTCATAATAAAAGTGTTAAAATATAAAAAATGTCATTTAAATTTTTGATAAATAGGTATTAACTAAGGGTCATATAAAACATCAGGTGTGGTTTGATCGTTAACTAAGATCTACTATAAGTAGTTATTTCCCTTTTCTGTATGTGGCTTTAACTATAAGCCCGTTGATCCTGTATATTAGTTGAATAATGTTATTTATTATTATGATGATGGAATATCGATGATATGACGGTTTATGTGGAATAATGAAATTTGGTAGTTCAATTTTTATGAGAGAAAATGTTATAAGTTTTTGCCCCAATTGATTTCAAATCAAGAGTACGGAGTTTTTTTATGTTACCTTGAGAGGCAATAGATGACTTTCATAACATGGTAGTGAGTTTTGAAATTAAATTTAATGGTTCAATTGAAATTCATTAAAAGTTTGGTGACTGCAGATGAAATTTACCCGACCATAATGGTGTTGGATATGATGTTTTATTGAGGAATTGTTGATGTTTTGTTAGAAATTTGACAATTTTATTGGAAACTGAGGGCTTGAAATTTGGAAAGAAGTAGAAATATGTCGTTTTCTTGAAATTGGCGGTGGAAGTTTGCTTTTGTGGGGTTTCATGTTTGACTATGAAATAATGCTATTGATTTTTATTGGGATTGAGGCCTTGTATGAGAGGGATTAAAATCGGATTAAAATTGAAAATATAGTCGTTATTGTTGACTTTTATTAGAGGAGTAGGACCCAATAACGACCATATTTTCAATTTTAATTGACTTTTAATCCCTCCCGAACGGGGCCTGAATCTCAATCTATGTTATATGGTAACTACATGACATTAAATGATAAACTCAATTAAATGAGTGACGTGACTTTGTATTTAAATGAATATATCATTTAATGCCATGTAATTGTCACATAAACTGAGGTTTAACCCCAATGGGGATGAATATTATTACTCTCGACTATATGGTTACGAAAGTCTATTTAGTGAAATTTCATTTTAAGTTACTCAATTTTCAGTATAAATAGTTAAGTCTGTATTTAAATGTTCTAATTGGATGATATGACATTTGACTTTAATTGAATCAATTTTCAAACTTGGGTGATGAGTTTGGAACCAGAAAAAAAAATTAAAAATGAGATTTTAGTGAAGTAATATTTTATTTTTTCACTAACAATTAACATTTTTTATGAATTTCATGTTAGATTAACGTATGTATTACCGTGTTATTTGTAGAGTATCGCTGAATATTTCCTTGGATTGAAGAATTGTAAAATGCAATAGGCTTCATGGTCTAATCTCTGGTCAACAACTTGACCACCCGTTGGCAACCACCGACCACCTCCATCTAAGCATCTCAACATGTTTGATTTAAAAGAATATGTACATGTATATGTTATGGTGGTCAAAATCAATTTTAAATTATTTCTAAATTCGGGAATCAATTTTAATTAATAATATATAATTAATTGAAATTAATTATCCTCATCCAGTCCTGTCCCATCTGTAAAAAAATTTCAAAAATTGAAAACTTTTTTCAAGATTACACCCCACCCCAATTTGTTAAAAAATTTCAAAAATTAAAAATCTTTTATGGAGATTACACCAAATCCTATCCCATCACATCACATCACATCACATCCCAACCTTTAAAAAAATTCAAAAAATTTTAAACGTTTTTTTTTTGGAGATTACACCCCACCTCCTAAGGATTCACATCATATTTGTGACTAACCGTGTTATCTGTGACCATTTTTTTACAAGACATGTATTATATGGGATTAACTGCGACCAAATTTATCTTCAGTGTGACTATATAAGATCGTCTAATTTGTGACTGTATGTAACCAAGTCACTAATCTGTGCTATTTATGACTATCTGTGACCAAAATTATTTTTAATGTGATTATATATGATCAAATTTATTTCCAATGTGTCTGTTTGTGACCGGATTAATCTCAACTGTGACGATATGTGATCAAATCACAATCAACGCAAAATTGATCACAAACAGTCATAAATCAGAATTTTTTTAAGGTTGAATCTTTTTTATCAATCACAAATTATTAAATCAGCAAAACCGTTTGTACAGAAATGATTTTGCCAGAAAGTCGCCAGAATACTCACAATGCCGGGCCCCACCTTGTATTTTTAAAAAAAAATTATGCAGGCCCCACCGTGTGTGTCTTTTCTGTTTGCTTTCTGTGGCCTCTGCTTCTGTACACGAAGCAGGGCTCTTATTAAATTAATTGATCACGACTTTTTTTTTGTCACAAAATCTCACATTTTATAAGTCACAACTTATTTATCATCGATCAAAAATTCTCAAATTAATTGATCACAACTTCTTGTTCATCTCTAATTATCAAATTAATTGATCATAACTATTTTCTTGATCACAAATTATTAAATTTATGAGTTTATCACCACCATAACCCACCACCACAACTACCACCAACACTTTCAAACCACCACTACCACCACATGATGTGGATTAACGAATCCACACACTACCCACAGATACGTACATGTTGTGAAAAAGATGACAATAAAAGTAAAAGATAAACACACGGATTTGCAGATGAATTTTTATTACTTGAGGAAACACAACTCAACAGAACACACCACCCACAGTCCATCGCTCAGCTCTGTACACTCACANACCTACACATTCAATCCACCACTACCACCACATGTTGTGGATTAACGAATCCACACACTACCCACAGATACGTACATGTTGTGAAATAGATGACAATAAATGTAAAAGATAAACACACGGATTTGCAGATGAATTTTTATTTCTTGAGGAATCACAACTCAACAGTACACACCACCCACAGTCCATCGCTCAGATCTGTACAATCACAGCTACGAAAACACCACCACACAGACGCTATACACAACAACATAGCTTCACACAACCACATGAGATCACATACCAGCAACGAAGACACCATCGCACAAACACTCTACACAGCGGCACATATCTACACACCACGGCACAAAAGCCTCTACACAGTAGTGAAGACTATTGGAACATCGCTTATGTCGCTACTAAAGGAGGCTGAACAACGGCGAAAACAGATGAAGACAGAGGCACCGCTACACAGTGACATCGGGTCGATCACAGAGCCGCACAATGGCTTCTTAGAGACGTTGTTTGCTTCAGAGCGATGTCGTTACGATGGCGACGTGACGATAGTATCACTGACGGTGGTTTGTGATTGAGAGAAGGGAGAGAATATAGAGTGAGAATGAAGAGAGTAAAGAGAGAAAAGATGATTGGGATTTGGAAATGAAATTGGGTTAGCAAATATGTAGATTAAATTTAATCTTATAATATTATTATTAATATTTAAAAGATGAATTATCACCCGATTATTGAAGAAAAGTTATTAAAATTTGATTTTTGAAATTGAAACTTTAGAGGTAGGGTTTGGATTAATTTTCCCATTTAATATTTTGCTGACCCATTTATTTCTAGGGCTAACAGATTCTTTGAAGGACTGACGATACTACATTTCAGTCCCTGAGCCCTATTCCTTAATAATTCAACAATTTTCACACTTTTTTTTTCTACACATCACTACTCAAAAGTAGTCCATAAAGTTTTAGGGTCCCTTCGGTATGATTTTTGCTTCTTGTAGAAATTTTTTTAGAGGAAGTTACCTCAATTTTTATTTGGAAACCAATTTTTAAAAGCATTTCTTATTTCGAAAGTACTTTTAGAAGAAATCATATTGGATCTGTTTCCTCCAAAAGTTCTTCTAACTACCAAAAGCACTATCATAAATTTAACCAAACGAGTCCAAAGGAAATTTTTGGGTCTCAAAAACTCATTTGACTTTTCAAAAATCATGCCAATAGGCCAATCTATATAGGCTTTTAAAATTCATAAATGCGCTTTTTTTCCCAGTTCTAGAGTCATTCTATTTCGAAGTAGGGACGGATCTTTCTCAACCCCTATTATTAATGCATTAGACTTAGGGAGTGTATTTAATGTAGAATTTTGAAGTTTTTGGTCCCTAATCGAGGTTGAAAAATTGGAAATCTACAATGTCCAATTCCAAACAGAATCAAGCGACTCCTCGATTAGTTCGTAAAGCTTAGTTGTAACATAGAGCCATGCTTGGAGTAAAGCCTCAGCACAGTGAGGTGCCTGTGAGGCCCCTGGCAATAATGCTCCTGTACTTGGAGCATTATTGTGTAACATATTAACGAGGAGGTCACCTAAGTTTTAAGTTTCATATGCACTACCTGTCTCATAATGCGAATTAGACAATACAATGAATGAATATTTTACATACATTTCTTTCCAGTTATTTACCATCTAATATATCAAATTGGTCATAAAGAATGTATCCAGAAAAGCAGTATTCATATAAAGCACTGTTTATAGC